CCCGGCAGTGCCTGAACGTATGACACGGTACCCGGCCATGCGTTCATTCCCAGAGGGGAATGAGCAGCATCTCGGATGCTCTCTGGGAACAGATGTGCCACCACAAGTTATTTAGGGATACAAGCAACCCGTCCTGGCGGTGGTTTCTTTTATCGGTGTGCGTAAACTGGTAAAACTTCACGGAGTGGCAGAGAACTGACTTTTATGTTACTTGTAATCATATTTTCTTTGTGGAAAGAAGATGGAAGACAGTCAAACACACTGAACAAACCGTCTCGGTCCTTTTGTCTGTGGACAGTGCTTTTAGTACCAGTTTTGGAGAATAGTCTCACCTAACGTTAAAAATAAGAAATGACCCTAACTGAGTTTAAAATCTCAACACCTAATAAAATCCTATAACTTTTAAAATACTGTACTGATATTGCATGGTTTGTAGAATTTGTATTGTACAGTACTAGGCTGTTGAAGTCTGAGAGATTTCTGGACCACCAAACTGATGGAAGGCTCACGCAGCAAGTTTCCACAGATGTGGCTGTATTATTGACACTGCAGAGAAAGTTGTGAAACAGCCCAGCTAATAAATACAAACAGCATCAGGTGTCAGAGTTAATCAGAGAGGTAACTGATGCCGCAGAGTCTTTGCGTACAACTGTAATGGATTCCAGCCATACTGCCTACTGCAGGACTGGAGTATGCTTAAATGTGCAGTGATTATGTTAGTGTAAACCTGTTCTGCGTGCAGCAGAACATAGCAGCGAACTGTTTTCTGTGAAATAAAACATTGTTCAGTGGTAATAGTGTGTAAATATTCCCATTTTTCTTTCTCAGTTACAAGGATGTTTATTTTTCAGTTGATCTCCTAAACAGCAATATATCTAAAAGCGTAATTACAAATGTGTATCTGTAGAAGCTTAATTAGTGTTTGTGTCTGGAATGAAGTAAGGAACTTGACTTGGCTGCAAAATCTCGTGGATTTTTCTTTCTGGATTGCTTTTCAGGTAGATCAGTTTCCCCATTCGATTCAGCTTGTGACCGAAGTCTTATGCAAAGGTATTTTAGGGACAGGAACCTCTTCAGCGGTAATGCTGCTAAAGAGCTAACAATGAGCTCAGTTTTTCCAGTGGAAGAATTTTAAAAAGCATTAGTAAAAACATATTTTTGTTACTTACTGATTCATAATACTCTATTTCTAGCTTTCAATTGAGGAAAATGTGATATCTAATAATTTCATTACTCATGCCAAGGATAATGCTCCTATGATGAAGTGTA